GGGAGGAAGAAGGAAAAAGAAAACAAAAATAAAAAAAAAGAAAGAAGAGAAAAGAAAGATATTGACAAATTCAAGATGAATAATTCCGGAAAGTTTTTTATCAGGGAATTCACTTTCTTAATTTTATATATGAATAATTTTCTTGACCGGAAAGTATTTCGTTGAAGCGGTCTTCTTAGAATCATGGAGTGATTTTTTTTTCAATTTGGAAAAAGTGAAAATTTAATATCATTTTTGAAATCTGAATATTATAGGGTGAATTCCCTAAAAAATCCCAAACTTTAGATCAAGTCCCAAATCTGCCCCGAATTTTTTTTTGTCTAAGAAAAAACCCTAAATTTTAGTTCCAGTCCCAAATCTGCCCCAAATTTTTTTGTCTCGAAAAAAACCCCAAACTTTAGATCCAGTCCCAAATCTGCCCCGAACTTTTTTTTGTCTCGGAAAAAACCCCAAACTTTAAATTCAGTCCCAAATCTACCCCGAATTTTGTTTTATGTAAAATAAATCAGCAAATTTCAATTTATTTTCAAAAATATACCCCCGTGATCCCGTCCTAACTTGACGTGACACTTCCACGTCATAACAAATCAACATGCAAAGTAATGAGGCGATAGGAACAGAGACCGACGTTGCATTTTCACTTCGACAACAAATCAAACCAAATAAAAATTGTTGAAATTCTCCAAAATAAAACCAAATAAAATCATTTATTATCAATGTGGAAATGTCACGTCAAGTTGGAACTGGATCATCGGAGTATATTTTTGAAAATAAATTGAATTTTGGTGATTTTTTTACATAAAACAAAATTAAGATTTGGGATCGAACCTAAAGTTTGGGGTTTTTCAAGGCAAAAAAGTTGAGACGATTGGGACTTGACCTAAAGTTTAGGATTTTTTTACGAGACAAAAAAATTCGGGCTGATTTGGACTTGACTTAAAGTTTGGGATTTTTACGAGACAAAAAAAGTTCGAGCGATTTGGGACTTAATCTAAAGTTGGGGGTTTTTTAGGAAATTAGGCCGAATATTATAACGGCGGTGTAATTTTTTAGAGTTATGAGTTAAAATTTCAATGACGTTCTTTTTTATTATGGCGACGCTCTATCGAAATATTAAGGCTGACCAATAAACAAGGTAAAAGATGATTAACGTAATAAGAAGCCTACCACACAAAAACTTTAGGCTTTAATTATGACTACAACTTCCTCCTTTTTTATTACGCGTATTACTCTTTCACTTTTCGCACAATAGGAAAGTCATGTTATACTTACCTTTTAATATTTCGATATCTTGTTTTACCTAAGTTCAACCACATCGGATGCTTCATCATGATTTATTCATTTTTATAATCATATAGCATATGATAAATATTTCTCCAATAACATCCATAATTATCTTTGTAAATCACCAATCAATGCGATAGTATGATTATTACGAGCCATTTTGCACTTTATCTCTATCCATATAAAGGGTTTCGTGAACAATAATTTCTACACAATTTAAACAATGAAAGACAATACTTTTTTAATAAATTATTTTCCATATATGGGTTGACAATTTTATTGTTAACTTGATATATTAAGATATTAAATGGATTTCTTACATTTTAACCAAACAAATCGATTTTTTATAATAATAAGATCATTGGGCTTTCTTTACATGTCAATATTCCATGCCTCTTTCTTTCTCCATTGAATGTGACACATCACAAACATCATAAGAACAACATTTTTGCTGTGGCGGTCCGACTTGTTGACTTTGTGGCATGGCTGGTGGGTCTGTCTGTCCCTTCTCCAAGTCCAACCTCGTGTGAGACGAATACGTTGACCCTTGCCCACCCTCGTGCACGAGCGGGTGGCTTTCGTTTTTGTTGCTGTCGAATGACTTTGCAAGTAATTCGACTTCTCATTTCGTGTCATGATTTGGGCGTTGAAAGAACGATCTTGTACGTATGTGTGTGGATGATTAGGAGCACGACATAGGTTCCGACCCCGCCATACCATCAAAGTGCAATCGGTTTCACGTTTGGACTTTGTACTCGGCCTTTAAGTGCTGTCTTGACTGGATCACGAGAGTGGCAGACCGCTTCTTGAGCTCGAAACTACGTGCTCGAGGTGGACTTTCTCGTGAAAGAAGCATATAAAGTTTCTTATTATGCAATCAAGTGCCTATTCTTTCTTTTATTTAGTTAGGTATTCGAATTTTTCGATATCGGCTTGTGTGATACTTTCGATAGGAAAGTTAAGTTAACGACGCTGGCTGACGTGGATGGTTCTGCCAAGTTCCGGTAGTTGCTTATGTTGGTCGCCACAACTGTCTTCTTAACATCATGCAATGTCGCCGTACGCAAATCGGACGGTCGAGATATTTCCATACTATCTCTCTCTTCCTCATCTTCCATGCATAACCTAATATCGTTTATTCACAAAAGCCCTAGCAACAGCCACCCCCCGTTGTCCTTGCCACCGCCCGAGACTGAGCACCACTACCTCTTCATCGTGGACCGAGCACTACCTTTCATAGAACAGGCCACCACCGCTACTATTACCAACTATCACCATGAAACTCGGTCATCCCTTCAGAATTGCCAGAGGCCCATATCTCAACCACCATCACCACCGGATCTAGCCCTCCGCCACAGTGATTACATTGACAAGGCGGGGTCGGGCAACACCCACGACGATAGAAAAAAACAAACGGTTTTTCTATGGCGGTCCGATGTCGGCCTTTGTGGAAAGAGACGATCACATCTCAAAACCTTCTAATGTCCTTTCTTTCGTGCTTTAAGCATTGGAATCTACATGGCTTCTAGAAATGTGGACAAAACAGTCTCCAATTCAATCACAACACAAGAATGATCACAAGGGATCCCAAAACCCAAGTGATTCTCTTCCCTCATCCCTTGTTGAAATCATGATCACACACCCTAATCGCCACTTCCAAGGCCCCAAGTTGCCTCTCTTATACCCGCGATGAGCCGCATCATAATACCAACAAAATTCCCCAAAATTCCATAATTAAGTAAGGCCAAAACCATCACCCTCCAAACAATCTTTAGCATTGGGATCGTGTACGGCCAACCCAACTCATGAGATGGCCCCATCCCCCACAAAACCCTTTGGAAACCATGTTGGACTTCGTGAAAATGTGGGAGAAAATCAAATTGATTACTTTATGAATAATGAGACAGCCTATGAAATTCAGACAACATGCTTTGTCGATTTGGAATCCCATTCCCCACATACAAGCTGATTTTGGGTTGGCAAGTTCACTTCGTTTATTAATTAATCAATTCATTTGTTTGTGTTCGAGTGGTCCATATTGGTAATTGGATAGTGATGCCACGTACTTGAGTTGAAGACTATGATTTCGATGTGTACACTCTCGTCCTCTTTTTCGGTACCTTGGAATCATAGCCACCCAAAGTCTTTAGCTTTTTGCTTTTGGCAACACTGGTAAGCTCGAATCGATGCATTGTCATTCTAATTTTTCAACTTTTTTGTCGCTTCATGACAAGTAAATTTATGGAGTCTAGAGGTGCCACGTTGTTTTACTTTACCAGAGAGAAGAGAACCTAAGATAAGTCCATCATAGTATAGTTGACTCCCCATCCTTTATTATTTTAACCCCTTCTTTCAATTTGGGCTTTTTTTAGGAATAATTGGCTCAATTCATAGTTTTGAATTCGCGGCATATCATATCAAATGAGTCGTCAAAATCAATTGTTAAGTTCTATTTGGGTATCTTAAAAAAAGTATCATAATAGCATCAACCAAAATTGGTAGTTACAAGCGCACTTCAAAATTTACTCTTCAAACTGTCAAAAAACAAACGAGATGCCAAGTGGTACAACGCTTAGTCTGAATTGTTAATCCTATTTATATGTCTCAATCAATGCAACCTTCACAGTTGTGCCGGCCATTCTTTAATCGGAGTCTTGCCTACTATATGTGGATGGACCACTGATGTACACTGTGAAATTAGTCAAGTAAGAAAATGCGAATGTCACACCCTATATTTAGGGATGCCCACTGACCTATTCTATTTGAGCCCCAATCGATACTCGACTTGATATGGACATGAAGGGTAAATGTTTTTTTTTTTTTGTGACCTAACCCACATAGAACCTGAACGGAAAAAACTAGTTCTGGTCGGTCAAGTTATCTCCTTTATTATTTTTTTAAATTGTGTAGATATCCCGGATTGTCTTGACCCAAATTTAGTGAGGTTAATGCATACTTAATTGTGCGCTTGTACCAACTTACTCTTATGCATGATCTAAGATATAATGATTTTCATTTTTTGTTCGTAAAATGTTTTTCACTCGAATCGTTTTGGTTTCAAAATAAGTTCAGTAATGCGTTTCGGATCCGTCTCAGTTTATAACCCGAAAAGAAAAAACCGAATTATCATAAGCCCGACGTTTTAGTCACTACCCGAACCGACCCGAAAACACCCAGAAAAATATACGGATTTGGTCGGCTCGCTTCAATTCGGGCAGTCGTCAGAGTATTCCTAAAAGAACGCCGACACGCGCGCATTTATATATTTATTTATCTACTATAAAAAGAAAGTGCATATTCCTCACCATTATAACTTAGGAAAGAACAACAATGTGTGAGCAGTAAAGAATCCTCATTTCAAGAAGAAGAAGGAACAAAACCAAAAGAAGTGGAGAAAAAGGGAAAGCAAATTGGGGAAGCAAAGCAAAGGATTGGGGGGGGGGGGGGGGGGGGGCAGCATTCACTCACGCCGAAGGAAGGAATCTGAGGAGTGAGTGGGGGAAAAACGCCGCGCCGTTTCTGCGGAGACACGGAGCCGTTTCTCTCACCCCCAAATTCCTCGGAACCCAAAAGGAACCACCCACGATCCGTACCGTCCCCTTAACCGCGGTTAACCCACGAGGCTAACCATGGTTAACCCCCCTCCTACCTCCTACCCTCTCTCTCTCCTCTGTCATATATACGGGGCCCTCCGTGAACAGACCTTCCTTCCTCCCCCTCTGAAGCTTCCGCCATAGCCACAGCCGTCTTGGAGCGGTGTGGATGATCAGAGGATGAGCTGCAACGGGTGCCGGGTCCTCCGCAAGGGCTGCAGCGACGGTTGCATGCTCCGGCAGTGCCTCCAGCTCATCGACTCCCCGCAGGCCCAGTCCCACGCCACCCTGTTCGTCGCCAAGTTCTTCGGCCGCGCCGCCCTCATGTCCTTCGTCTCCGCCGCCCCCGCCGCCCACCGCCCCGGTACGATCCCCCTACCCTGCTTCTTTTGTTACCGCCTTCCGGTAGTTCGCCGGAGCGTGATGAAAAAAACGATCTTTTTCCCCCGTGTCCCGAGCTTCCTGGGTGAAATTCGTGTTGGGATTCTCGAATCATCTGAAGTTTTGTCGGTGTTTGTGTGTTGTGGATATCGAATCCTGACCTGGGTTTGGTCCGTGCGCGCTCTTCGCAGCTCTGTTTCAGTCGCTGCTGTTCGAAGCCGTGGGGAGGACGATAAACCCCGTGGGAGGGGCGGTGGGCCTGATGTGGACCGGCAACTGGCCGCTCTGCCAGTCGGCGGTCGACGCGGTGCTCTGCGGCGGCGCGCTGCACCCGCTCCCCGAGCCCGCGGGCGCCGTCCCCTCGCTCGATCTCGACCGGAGCTCGGTGTCGGAGGTGGACCACTTCATGCCTCCTCCGAGCCCCCCGCCGCCACCGCCGCCGCCCCTAGACGACGCGCCAGCCAAGGTCGAGGAGAACCGGCTCGGCCTGTCCTTGACGTCGCCCGCCTCGCTGCGGCGGCGGCCGGCGACCCCGCCGGAGGAGGAGGAGGAGGAGGAGGAGTCGGGGACGACGACGGCGGCGACGTGGCGGAGCGGGTCGTCGGAGGGCGGGTGCCGGAGGCGGGAGGCGAAGCTCTTGAGACTGTTCGCGTGAGCGGAGCGGTCGCCGGCTACCGGAACAGCCGGTGGATTTTGGAGACTACTCACCCACTGAGGAAGCGGCTTTTTTGTTTTTCCTTTGTTTTTTCGAGTTTTTTTTTTCTGTGAAGCATTTATATCCGTCCGATCCGATCTAACCAGAGGATGAGACGGTATCCGACGGTCCGTATTGGCCATGACGTGAGAATATAAACATTTAATGCAATTAATTCGGGAAATTTTTTTTTTTGGGGGGAAATATTGCGCATGAGATTTCTGCTCTGTTCCAAGAAATGAGAATTTCGATGAATTATCTTCTTCTCGAATTTAATATTTTTTTTCTTAAATGAATTGCACCGCTAGTGATGGAGGAAGCTTTCAATTTTCGATAGAGATTGCTAACCAAGCCATAAGAATGCCTTTTTAAATGAATTTTTAAGTGGTAATTAATTGCATAGTTCGTGAATCGGAACCTTTTCAATTTTATAATTTAACTTCTGTACAATTTCATTTCAGATTGCTAAATTATCCTCCCTTCTAATCCTTCTTCGAATTTTGGATCAAGGCAAAGCGTTGAGGAGTTTTTCGAGTACTCAAGGAGCATCGAGATACCCTATTTGAAAAGGAATGTATTCGATTACTGCGACGTCAAGCGAGTTCCTTGATTAATTTTGTTGTCGGAAGAAACACTGTGGCCGAGTGAGTACCCTGTATTCACCGGAATTGAGAATATTTGAGATATAATTGATCAAAATAAAACGCTAGGAATTCAATTGAATTTGGGGAAAATGATTTAGACCATCGCTACACTTATTCAAAAAGAATTGACCGCACTCAATATATGACAAAAATAAGGCCGTTTTTATATTCCTCTTACAAGGGTTTCTTGGATTAGGCATCGATCGCCTTGTTAGTCTAATCCATTTAGACCCTTTTTTATTTTTACCATAATCCATATCCGACCCGATAAACGAAAACTCATGACCATCCACAACCAATTTTGACCCTCATAGTCTTAATTGAAAATAAAACTTACATTGGACTAGATGGCCATCTTGACCATGCGGGTCATCAATTCGGGTCAAATATAAGAAGTTTCGGGTGGGTGAGGGTTCTCTTTTGGGGAGGGGCTTGGGCTGTTCAATATTGGTTCATTGATGGATCATCCAATGAGGTATTCAAATTCGGGTTAATGACCCATATTGTCACTCCTTCTCATATCATGGATATTTGAAGGCTTTGAAGCTCATGAACCATCCAAATAACTAGTTACTCGGCCCGCGCTGATCGCGGGTAGGTTGTTAATCGCAATTTCGAATGGTTAATATCGCCAAATAGAGAAAATGTGATATAAAAGAGGAGTTGAGAGTTATTAAATGATAATATTTATTATATTAATATATGAATTCCATACCCTTAGGGATCCTGAAATTTATATGGGGAAGAAAAGATGTCATAATGTTAGGTTTTGTAAATAGGGAAAGATAGCAAAATCCCGAATGACATTATAGTCATATTAACTTAAGCTACGACGAAACAAATCAAAAGGTAAAAACAGACTTAACTCATGTGAAAATCATTTCAAGGAAAGAAGGAGGAAGACGATGTGTCAATTATTCATGGTTTAATACACTAAAAGCTATATTAAGAGATTTATTAAAAGTTCCATCTTTATATTTCTTTATCTATTTTCTTGTTGAACTCATTTCTTTAAATAGTACTTAGTTAAATTAAAGTATCTTTGGTTAAGTTAAAGCTTCGCACCCTAACTCTTCAACGATCATCTAAAATCGATTTGAGTTGTGAAATAAAAGGAAAAAGTTGTAGCAAAACAAGGTAAAGTTCGTGAACTTTGTCTTATCGGTATTTTTGAAGTATTGTTATATCATATTAAGAGAATTTGGACATTAAATTATCTTAGTTATCATTTTGAATTCTAAATGGAATGTAGAAACACTATGTTTTCAATGGACCGTGAATTTTAATAATTCTAATATTTTGTTGATATATCCCAAGTTTCAAATAAATAGTAATTTCGCTGTAATCTTGAAGTAGCATGATTTATATTTTGTTTAGTTTTCTATACTTTTGATTTATTGAATTCGACAACTTGTTCTGACCCAAAAAAAAGGGAAGAAGAAGAATTCGACAACTTGAATTAAATAAATTGTATTTTAGATGAAATGACTATTATTATATTCCATTTTGTTTAGTTGTTTAGTGAATTCTTTTATTTGATGAAATTTTTTTTGTTTAAATAAAATAACAATTCAAAGATGCTTTATCTTTATCCCTTTTTTTTTGTAAATTTAACTTAATAAGATGGTGGAGTTTCTATACTACATTTCTAAGATTAATGTTAGTTTTATTGTCAAAACACTCTATATATTTTGTCAAATACTTTTTAAGTTTTCTGACTGAATCCAACTACTTGAGTCAAATAAGTTACACTTAAATTAGAAATTTACGATTAACAATAAAAATACATAATGTTGCTTTGTTTTCAAATTAAATAGATTTCTCTAATTAATGAAACTTTCTTATACCTTATTTGAAAATACTTTCTAGTTATTCATTTTTCAAATTTTAAACTAACAAGAGATAGTCCTTACCAAAAAAAAAAAACACTAACAAGAGATAGAATTTTAGACATGCATGAAATATTTTCACTCTAATCATTGTTTGAATTTTAAACTCAGCAAAGGACGAAAGTTTGATGTTAACAAATTATAAACTAATGCTTATTGGTCAATTTTGAGCCACATGCAAAATCGTGTCACGTGTCATATCATGTGACAATTACATACGTAAAGTAAAATGTCACATTGTGAGTACTAGAGTAACTATTCTCTTAGTTTCAGCTATACTTTTTTGTTATATTTTTTTGTTAAAAAAAGCAAATGAACCTTAGTAATTGACTCGTGCCCATTGATTTAAGATTTTGATTGTAGTTGGGTGTAACAAGATATCTTTAAGTGACACGAACTTGAACCATTCATCTCATCTGGTTTCTATGGTGTTGTGTCCTGATCCTTATTTCCTTGAGCTAAATTAAGAGTGGAGGGAATCAGAAGGTTGAAGAAAATTAGAAAAATTCTGAAATTTTCCTCTGCTCATCCTGACAAAAAGTTCAATTTCGCTCAATTTTTTGCAATCCCTCTTATTCTCCCGTCTTTTCCCAAACAAAGCGTTAAAAGTCTCGATTCAAGTAACTGACAGGAGCTTAATCTCGAGTAAGATATATAGAAACGTTTGGAAATTTAGCTTGAATAACCTTGTTTTGAGTGGAAGTTAGGCTGAGATTGGCTTTGAAATCACTGCAATGAAATTTCCACGTCATATAAATGTGTTACAACCTATATTTAGTTTTAGACTGGTCGTATGTAATAAAAAACCACCAAGATGATTGACCTAGTCGTAAATGGTTCACTTGTCTTCCACGAGTTTGATTCACCGAATTGCCTAGTTATGTCATATCTCGAGTGACAAGATTTCTTGGCTACTAACATTTTGGTCGAGCTATGATAAAGGGCTTGCTAATCTCGGACCCTTAGGTCTCAAGTGATGTGATGGCACAAACCATAGTGAACATAGGACCTTCATGGTGATATCTAGAGAGGTCGTTAGTGCTGATCGCCTTTTCCCGCCCTTTTATTTATAGCAAAATAGAAGAAGATTAGATCCATAATTGACCGACTACACAATCGAATTGACAATATTCAAAGGCCGACTAGGCCCAAAAACATCAAAGAATACACAAGGCCATAGAGGCCCCATGACAATACATCCAAGTGCAAAGGCCGAACAGAAATGGGCGAAGCATTTTAGGGACAGAGAGAGAGAGAAACTAATGCCCTTTCTAAGCTATTTTAGTGACTTCAGACTCGTTAAATTAGCAAAAATAAAAGACGAAAATGGAATGATATACGAAAAAGCGGTTTGATTCGGTTTCTGTTTAAACTACACCATGCTTCAGTTTTATATTATTTTTCTTAACCATATTAAAATTATTCAGTTCGGCTTGGCTTGGCTTTGTGTCCAAATTGGAGCAAGCCGCGATGTGCTCCCCCTTATCGTCGATTTGTTAGATCCTTCTCAGTATCACCGTTTCTCTCCCGTACCTTAGAAATGCTAGCACAAAAAATTGACCAGGTCGTCGATAAAGATAGATACGCGACTAGAATACCAGTTGTTATTAAACATGCGAGCCATTGTCGACGAATATAAAAAATGTTATCGATATTAATGTACATTGTTGACCATTAATTGGCCGTTGATATACGACAAGGTATGGTTGGCGATTATCGACAAGGATATCGGTTAAAAGGGTTGATAGATCATCAATTGAAACACTAAGAGAAGCTTGGATACCTAGAGGGCGTCAATATGCAGTAACAAAATTTCGAATTTGAAATCACTGGTGAGTGAAGCTACGAAACATGGTAAATCATGGAGTAAGAATGGGGGAAGAACAGCAGAAGTGCCAAAAGTTGTGTACGGAGCTCACTTTGGTGCCAAAAGTTCCATTTGGATAACTTAAGTGCCAAATCGGAGGAAAAATGATCACTTTGGTGTCAACAGCGAGAGATTCCGGCCAAATTAATACGTGGCATTTATAATTAAATTTTTAATCTTAGTTGGATTTTTTTTAAAAAAAATTAGTCTACGTGGCATTTCCACGTATATATTTCGATTTTTTAAATACTTTTCTGAATTTTTTTCTTTTTTTTCGTCTTTTCTTTTTTTCTTTTCTTTCTTCTCCCTTTGGTCATCGCCGGTGACCGGAGGCCGGCCACCGGCCGCTGGCCTCGCCCGGACGAGGCCGCCGCCGCCCGCCACGGGCGAGGCCCGGCCGACCCTCGCCGGGCGACGGCGGGCAAGCCCGGCGAGGTCGGCCTCGCCTCGCACGGCGGCGTCCGGCGGGCCGCCGTGGCCTGGGTGACGGCCCCTAGCCGAGATCGGCGAGGAGCCCTAGCGGGCTCGCCTCGCCCATGCAAGGCGAGGCCGACCTCGCCGGGCTTGCCGCCGTCGCCCGGCGAGGGTCGGCGGGCCTCGCCGTGGCGGCGGCGGCGGCCTCGTGACCGAGGCCGGTGGCCGCCTCGCACGGCGTGACAAAGGAGAAGAAAAAAGAAAAAAGAAAAAAGAAAAAAAAGAAAAGAAAAAAAAAAGGAAAAAGAAAAAAATTATTTAAAATAAAAATGCTGATTTACGTCTTGATGTATCTCCGTGAGCCACATCGGCTTCAGAAATTAATAAAAAAATGTCACGTCGGATTTCCGGCCAAACTGACCGGAGTTGGTACTTAAGTGATCGTTTTCCAAAAAAT